CACACACACACACACAAACACACCACAGTGTCAGTAGGTGTCACAGGCTCAGGTCTCTTTCCATTTTCAGAGGATGACAGGTTGAAAAGCCCTGCTCGAGGTCACCAATGTGCTCATTCACTGTCAGAGCGCTTGCTGTGCTGAAGGAGACCTCTGTCTGCATAGATCTTCTTGCTGGGATTATCACGCAGCCGACCTCGCTTGCCGGTCGGGAGTCCGGCTCCGCTCCAGCCGCTCCCGTCTGCACGGCCACTCCGCTCACTTTGGGAATGTGGGAAGGACATGAGGACGAGGCTCAGGGAGAGCTCACACCCTGCCAGCGGCTACTCAGGCAGCTGCACAGCTGGTCCAAGGGCTGGTCCAAGGGCGGGACAGGCATCCGCGGCCCGACGGTGCGGCCTTCACGCTCCGCTTGGCGTCAATCCATCACGTCTGACACGAGCTGCAGCCCGAGAGCGGATGCTGAGTGATGTGGCCATTCCGCTTAAGCTCTCCGTCACGTCTCTCATTTCTGATTTGGGCCTTTACAGCGACTTTGATGGAGCTTAAGCACCAACAAATGTAGGTCGTCTCCTTCGTTCTACATTACTGACTGCATGTTTACCGTGGAAACGGGTTCCTCATTACCATACGACCGCAAGGTCAAGCATCAGTGACGGTAGATTGGCGTCGTAATGAATGCCAGACTGGCATCAGAACAAGGGTCAGACTGGCACCATGACCAGTGACAGACTGGCACCATGACGAATGATAGCCTGGTACCATGACGAGTGACAGATGGCATCATGACGAGTGACAGCCTGGTAACATGAGGAGTGGCAGGCTGGTACCATGACGACTGACAGGCTGGTACCATGACGAGTGACAGGCTAACACCATAATCAATGACAGTCTGGCACCATGACCAATGACAAACTGGCATGATGACAAACAACAGACTGGCACCCTGGTGAATGACCGGCTGGCACCATAATGAATGACAGACTGGCATCATAACAAATAACAGCCTGGCATAATGACTAATGACAGGCTGGCACCATGGCGAATGATAGACTTCCATCAAGAGGAATGACAGTCTGGTGTCAGTGTGAGAGCTAGTTGATTGGAGCTGCTCTCCTTCCAGTGTTTCTCTCACTTTCCCTGACGCTCAAGCACTCTGACGCCCACACCGCCGCAGCACTGACGCCCGCGCCGCCGCAGCACTGACGCCCGCGCCGCCGCAGCACCGACGCCCGCGCCGCCGCAGCACTGACGCCCACTGGTAGGATTCCCTGCTCTCCAACCGCAAGCAGACTCCCAGCAGATGCTCCTCTCGACACTTCCTCACGACAGTCGCACAAAGTGAGTCCAGCACAGCTTCGCCGCAGGAATGGGTGGCACTCGGTTAAAGCGCTTAGCCTCCCTGGGGGTGCGAATGAGGCACGCCAAGAAACTAAGCCTCCCTATAAGCCGCGTGCCACACCGGATACCTCCCGAACGAGAGCCCACCGACCTGCTCCACAGGCTCCCGGAGGTACAAGCTCACCTAGCATTTCACTGGAGGAGAGACCATGCTCCTGTCGAGGGAGAGAGCCACACTGCATCGGGGAAGGGAGGACCGTCCTGCAGCAATTACCGAGGAACCATCCTCGTGCTTAAAGGGGGGGGGAGTCTGTGCTGCATCGCGGAAACAGAGAGCTCTCCAGCTTAAGGGGAAAACAGGTGTTGCTGGATGGAAAAAAAGCAACCTTTTTGTTACATTCAAGAGAGCCCATCTTGCTGCACCACAGGACAGATCATCCCACTGCCCCTTTGAGCTGCCGTTTCTCCTTAGGATCACGGCTGTCAGAGCCGACATTATCCCTCTACTAGACAGCAATGACGAGCTATTGAAAAAGCGTTTTTGATGTCACAGCAAACCCCGGGTCTTGGTGTGACAGCTCCCCCGTCACGGTGACATCCTCTATATGCGATCCTCTGCTTGAGGACGCGAGGAGAAGGTCAGGTTAGGTGGGGGGCGGGGGGGGGGGGGGGGGGGGGGGCGCAAGAAGCCCAGCAAGCCACCTGCCATCTTGAGCTCACCATTAGCAAACTGGCAAATGGCTCTTACTTAAAGCCGCATGCATTTATGAAGTGTGCGGCGAGAGCGGTGGGTACCGCTGAACGGTAAAGTAGGTCAGAAAGAGCCTGTGATGCATAATGGAGGAGCCTGAGATGGGGGAGGGGGGGGCCTGGCACGGTGAGCTTATTCAGCCCCCTCCAGCTGAAAAACCCTTAAAAAAAAAAAAAAAAACACTACGGGGAAGTTGCATCTATGAAATAACAACACATTTGGCGATGTGTAAAGCTGACCAGAAGAGCACAGAACCGTGATACCAGGCCATTGGTGTCGCTGATTCACATCGGTGCACGTATCGACTGCTGGTAGCTACTGCTGTGTAACCATCTTCAGCTTCGGGGGGGGGGGGGAAGCTGGCCAGTACAACGTACCTGGACGAAGCTAGCGCGCTGACGCGACACGAGGAGGAGAAGGGTGCGATCTGAAGCCGGCCGACCAGGAATGAAGGCTGCCTGGATGCCCTGAACCCGCTTCCTTAGCTCAGAAATAGACGATCTGTGCCAGTCCCCCCGGCAGCTGCAGGATCAGCAGCTACTTTAGCAGATTGAATCCCAGTAAATCAACTTCCGACGTCCCTGCCCAGTGCATGATGGGAGCGGAGAGCAATATAAGAGTCATAAATACTTGCTGAAAGGGCCCCGTATCACTGTCAGGGAAACAGATCAGAAGGGGCTCAACGGGCCGCAGTGACGTGACAGAGGATCATTATGAGGCCTTCATTCTGAGAGTGTCTGACACGGGGCCATCAATCCGCAGGAAATGGGCCAACGAGCTTCGCCTAGCGGGGTGATGTCACCCCCACTGCTCAGGACAGGTGTTCTTACGCCGCATGACAGATCACAGCCGGCAGGTGAGAGGGGGAATCCAGACGAGTTTAAGGGTTCCTAGGACCTAATCATAGTACGCTAAGCCCTACTCCTAACCCAAGCATGCTCACACTAACTCCCTAAACACGGCAAAATGCCAGACAGCCAACACCCACTTTTCTACCCCAGCATGTTAGCACACTTCCAGTAACCCCAACCCACTCACCCTGACACATTACCACTCACAAACCCCAGCAAACTAACAACCACCTGCTAACCGGAGCAAGCTAACAATAAACCGCTAACCCCAGCACGCTAACCCAAAACCCAACATCACCCCAGTGAACCAAGGCTGTTTTACACAGCCATGGTCCAGCAACAGGACCCTCTAGACAGCAATAGCATCAGGTGAATCCGAAGCGCAGAAATAGGGCTGCATGAATATATCCCTGGAGGGCGGCTCTGAATGAGCCTCAGCCCTGCACAAAAAACAAGGCCAGGCAGCACACTGGACCCAGAACCCCTTCTGCAGAGACAAGAGAAGTGGAGGAGGGAAAATTGAGAGGAACACCCAGGTGCATGCTGGGTAAATGCAAATATTTACCATAGCTACTCGAGTGACTTTACTACAGCGAGCACTCTTCTGTGTCTTCCTAAGAAATGCCCTGACATATGACTGCTAAAGCAATTCAGTTTATGCGTATCATTTTGTCAATAAGTTCAACGGCAAGAATACCAATTATTGTGAAGTTATAGCCTGGCTGCTATAGTTGAAAAATCATTTCGGCTCGGCTCACGTAATCCAGAGCTGGCAGCCCCATCGGCCCTGTTGCATTGCTGCAGTCTCACCGCGTGTCTGAGAAATGCGCTTCAGGTGCTCCTGAATCAGCTGCCACAGCTTCACACACACGTGTTCAGATGTGTGTGTGCGCTGAGGGACAGTAGAAGTTATGCTAAATATCCTGGATCAAAGCCAGGTATCACCAGTAGAATAACTCACGGCATGGAGACATCAGCCATACTCCTCGGTATGAGGCTTATCACCCCGATCCCTTTTGCTTATCAACACTTCAGCAAGAGTAACCTTGATGTAAATAACGTTTTCCGCGACGACCGTGATCGCGACTGACGTGACTGCATTTGCTGGAACCCAAAAGACAGTTATCAGATGCTTAAAATAAGAACAGAGGAAAATTAATCATGACTTTGGGAAGCCTTTAATAACTTTCATTTTCACCACGAACGTGAGCTAAAATAGTTAGCGATATGAGACTCACTCCTATGAGCGAGAACACCTCTCTTTAACTTGTCGTCGTCTATTAAAAACATGCCGGGTGTTCGTGAAGCGACACGTTTCTGCAATGGAAGCATGTCTCACTCTTTACACCAGGAGTGCACTCAGTCGGTGTGTACGGGGGCGATTAAGGAGATACAGCACACCATTATCATGGCTAGTCTCCAGATCTGCAGCCTAAGAGTTCGGCTCTCATTTTAAACAGATTCCCAGATGAAAACGTCATGTTTGTCGGAGACTCGTAATGGTGATACTGATGAATGGTGAAGGCCCTTATACACCAGCAGCTGACACAGGATAAACTGGAGCTGGGGGGGGGGGGGGCTGTTGCCAACACCCCCACACAGACATGGTGCATCTGGAAGACACACAGATGGAGAGACGACACACACACACACACAATAGGAGCGGAAGTATGGTCTTACTGAGCCGTAGAGTAAGCCTTCGCCGTTCATGCCTATGTAGAAGTTGGCCTTCACTCCCTGGATGGCCACGACGCGTAGTCCCACTGGAATGAGGTTGAATAGGGCTGGGGACACAAGAAGCAACCCATCAGTGTCCTTCAGAGGCCGGATGCGTCCACAGCCCCCGCATTCTCCATTAGTCATAACTGAAGACCTTTGTATTTTTACAGCAAAAATTAGAAGGTGGACAGATTATTCAGAATATGCGAGGGAGATATAAATCTTGGAGTTCCCGATGCGTCTCTGCATGGCTTGGGGAGGGTCACTTGGGGGGGTGAGGTGCAAGCTCTGCATCTACCTCAGACTCCGTGTGACTCTCCGTAATTGGATATGGACTCATAGGCTTTGAACAAAAACATTTTGTGGGTTTGACGACGCTGCCGAAACGAGGTCTTAGAAACAGCAAGTCAGTCGGAAAGGACGGGCAGCAGCCTTAAAGCCCTAACGGTCCTCATCGTTACCGCCTCGCTGTCACTCCTGCATACAGTGTCCCCTTCTTCTTAAATCTAAATAAGGATTTCATTGGGCCATTCGACAGCTTGGCGATGAGCTGGTAGAGGACAGAAAGCCAAGGCGTTACAAGCCACATTTTCAATGTCTCAGAAAACAGCTTTCCAGCAGAGCAGTATCAAGAACATTCCAGACCACTGCAGTGATCAGACAGTGAGCGTTCATAGGAGCTGGCAGGCATGATCAAAACAGCAGATCAAGGGCAAACACTGGAAAGCGGAAGCTAGTCAGGATCGTGGGGCCACACCTGCCACTGTCCCCCAGCCACGTCACATGGTTCGCTTTCAACCTTGTAACCAATGAGCAGCGGCTCGTTACAGAACTAAAGTGCTAAGGCTGAGGTACAGCTGATGCAACTCATGAGGACGACGTGTCTGCAAGATCCAGGCAAAAATACCCCAGTGTGAGTAGGTGTGCCTCATCTCCTGGAAAGAGCCTGCAGCAGCAACAGCCTGTTACCACACAGAACGTTCTTCCACCGAACACATTTACCTTCAGTGTGCGTGATTTACACTGCAGTCCTAACTGAAATGAAGCTGCAGATAAAGCCCAGGAAAGACTTGAGCGGAGGGTGTCGTCTTTTTAAAGAGAATCTTCTAATATTACATTCTGGAAATCGAAAGCCAAACGCGGGACCTGAGCAGCGTGTTCTGCTCGGCCGGTTCCCTCACATTTCCCACAAAGCACTCTGCTTCCTCAGAGGGATCTTTCTTCACATGGGTGCAGATATTTTTAGTTGTGTTGGCTAAGTTGTTTGTTTTTCACTGTTCCTCATCTATTGCTCCATCAAACCTCCGAAAAAGCAGCTGAAAGTGCCGAGCGCAGAATGCAAAACCCCAAATCCTGGTACCAAGCATCTAGATCCAATTAAATCTAACGGCTTTGAGCCTCATACTACAACATTTACTCCCTTATCTCAACAACGCAAACCAAGACGCTATAAATGTGCATGAAATCTACACATTAATGTGCATCACTTAAGCCCTGACTTCCTACTGAAGGCAATATATCGGTGTTATTCAACGCAAAAAAGCTCTTTGCGAAAAAAAACACGCATATAACACATTCTCTAAAACATTTTTCATTGTCGAGAGATAACTACTGAAAAAAACACCTGAGTCAATGTGAGATAGAGAATATTTAACGAACATTAACTTGTATTTATTTAGGGCAGGCTTTCATCCAAAACAACGTACACCTGAGAAAGCAGGTTTAGACAATCCCTAGAGCAACCAGGGGTTAAGGGCCTTGTTCAGGGGCACAACGGTGAAAACTCTCTGCCGACCATGGGATTTAAACCAGCGACCTTCTGATCGCAGGCGAAGCATTCTAACTTACTGAACCACACACCGCCCCCCACAAAAGCAGCATTTAACAAGAGCCGAATTCTCCATGTGGGTGTCCTTCCGTTAAACGATTAACATTTAATGCAAGAACTGCTGTGGAGGAAATAACCTACTCAGGTGCAAGGCAGAAAATAAAAGAGAGACGCGTTTATGCAAATGGCGGCAAACAACAAGCAGAGTGTGAGCAAGTGGAATCTATGAAGAAATCCACAACGCGGAGGCCACAGGCCGCACGAAGTCCTCGTTAGACTTAGAAACGCACCTTCGTGAGAAAAATGGCACAAAGAACAGTGACCCACTGAGTGGCCAGGTTGAAAGACAAGTGACCGATTTCTGTGCACCTGCATAGTGAGACACGTGGCACATTGACCCAGTGGCACTGGAATGTTCCTATATGCAGAGAACGAGTTCCATAACCAGAGATTCTAGAACATCACTCAAGATGGCGTCTTCAAGCACCATCACAAGATACTGAATTTGTCAAGGAAAGATTTATCTGTTGGGTACTTATATGTCTTGGGTTACCAACTATTAGAACAGCACATTCCATTTAAAAGTCCTTTATTCTGGGATGAGCGTTGTTGTAACAGTAAAAGGCAGCACAATTGCAATTCGGCAGCTTAGGAATTATGGGATTTGTAGTACAGAGACTTACTGTAGTCACTGTTCTCGTCCTTGGTCCCACTGATGGTGCCATCTGGCTGCATCTGCAGGTAAAAGCCCTGCTGGCTGAACAGTCGTGTCACAATGCCTTTCAGCTGTGGTTCTGCAACACAGGAAATACCCACCAGGGCCACATTAGGCTCCACCCTGCGATGACATCACACAGATACACTCTGGTCCCCCCTCTAAGGCGGTATAAACACTCTGGAGTGCATGTGTTCATGTCAGGGGCCTGCCACTCGTTAATTAAATGACAGTCCGGGTCTCTCTCTACCTGTGCCGCTCCGCAGTGTGAGCTAGCCAGGTAGGGGGTGGACCTTTGGACCCTGAGGAGACAGACCACCCCCAACATGAGCGATGTCTCCAAGTGGCCGATCCCTGACCTCTACAACTGCCCTCCTACCCATTGGTATGCCTTGTACACTCCCCCCTCGGTCAACCACTTGGGATTAATGGCACGCCCCATCAGCCATAGGGGCTGTAAATCAGAGACAAGGCTGGTCAATCAGAGGAGAACCATCTCCTCAAGGGAGCCTTGCCTCCAGGGCACTTTCATGCATATGCAGGTCGTATTATTTCTGTCCCAGAGAGGGGCAGGGTAGAGGAGCCACGGGGAGAACAGGATGCTGGGACAGTCCACCTCCTCCACACCACACCACGACTGCCGTTCCAACAAACATCTGAGAGAAACGACGCAGATGTGGCCAAGCTTGAGTCAGCTCGTGGCTCGGGTTTCTGTGAGTTTTGGCAAATACATCTGTAGGAGGGTATGTTAGTGTGCCAACATGTGTGGGCGTGAGGCTGTTTTTGAGCTTGTGTGCTTGACAATGCTTAACTTTGTGCATGTTTGTGTGCATTTCAACAACACAAATATTTACACAAAGAGTACCGGTGTAGAACGATGCCAAAGAGGACGCTGAAAGATTTGACGGGTATGCTGGCACATGGGGCATGGGCATGGGATGGGTACATGGCCGCCTCTAACACCGATCACCAACAGGCCAGGAGCAGGACCACAACACGACACGGCTCAACACACAGGAAACAAGAGCATCGCGCCAACCTCACTCCATTCCACCCAGTGGGCTCACAGGCCGACAGACAGGCAAATAGAGCAAGATGGGGGAGGAGAGGCAGAGACTGGGCGACGGATCCCCGCTGACCCCCCGCCCCCCCCCCCACGCCGGGCCTGGGGCAGTGATGGAGAGGTGGACAAGATGGATAGACAGATCACACGGCATGGGGATGGAGGCAGAGCTACTGACCTAGCCTGATGGCCCTACGGGACACCTGCTGGGGGTTGGAAGGTGCATCTTACAGGGAGAAGGAGAGACAAGAGCCATCAGACCCTCTGGGGCACGGCTGGGGCTCCCAGCCCCGGCGGCGGTACTCACAGCGAGAATAGCCAGTGCCCCTCAAGACGCCCCATTCCTCCAGGCTCGAAACACACCCCACAATCCACTAGTGCTACACTATACCAAAAGCGTGGCTCTTTATCCTGCCCGCCATCATCACAGCGTCTGAGCGGACCAGCGCCAGTCGGTACTTTGTACCAGTGCTGCACCACAGCTGTGATAAAGATTTACCGGTAAACATTTTGCCTAAATGCCCCTTGGTGCATTGCAGTGTAGCTTTTCCTCTGTGGACCTGCCTTACTGTTTTAAAGTTTGGAGTTTAATTATGGAAAGTAGACAAGGCTCTTAAAAGCACAGTCCTGTCAACGGTGACAAGCGATCATATTAGTCATTGTTAGCGCGGGAACACCGATTTAACGACAAAATAACAAAAACATAAATAACATCACAACATAAAGGGCATCCCCGCACATCCCGATGGCTGTAATCGGTGCTTTTCTGTCGTTTCTGATAGAAAACCACACGTAAAGGGTGGAACAGGTGGATTTTCGCCATCGCATGTCTACACCGTAGAGAATCGCTCTCTGACCGTTTCTATTAACATTTCGACTGCGGGAACGTAATCGCTTAATTATAGGAGTGGGGGCGGGATGGGGGCTTCATTCGAAAAGCCAAGGCACTAACCTGGTCGCCGCCGAACCGGTCTTTTCTTGCCGCTGCAGAAACGGACCTTGCTGAAAACCCCTAAGAAATGTCTCTCGCATAGAGATCGGGGGTCTTTGCTGGGACTGGGGCGGCGTTTGGAGGTTGAAACCCGGTCGCTGTTGGACTCCCTCGCCTGGCGTTTCTGACGGATTAGGGAGCTAGCGATCGCGGCCATCTCCCAGCCCAATGAGCCCAGTCGGAAGGTAGAGCTTCAGTGGCGCAGCTGCTTGGCGCAATAAATTGCAAACACGAGTATATGGCGCGTAACATGTAGCGCTGCGCCGGTCTAACTAAGTGTCATCCTGATCTTGTCGGAAATCCACGGAACCCCATGAATCACGACGGGCTTTAAAAAGCGAGATCCACGTAGGTCTGGGTTTCGACACACTGACGGAACCGTCCGCACGCCTCACGAATCATGTACTAGCCGAATCAAAACTTAAAGTCAATGCAATAGCGAGAGCGGCGCAAAAAAAACTATGCCAGCCTACTGTGCCATGGGCAGCCTACTGTGCCATCCTGGGACGATGAGAACGCGACGGTGCGTTTTCACAGCCCGATGGCAGCCAATGCAGACGCAAACGTGTCTCCCGCTATAGGCACCCGGGGAGCCTCGAACTTTTCAATTAATATTTCGCAGCTATTCGTCGCTTCACAGCGCGAAACTTTCTACTGCATTTCGCCGGCGGTGCGACACAGTGGCGAAGCGCGTCGGAAAGAAGCGGCGGGCAGGCACCGTGCCCCCCGGGATAACGGGCATCGTGCGAGCCGCCAGTCTGTGCCACCGAAACCCCGCCGGGGAAACGATCTCACATTTCATGCGAGTGCAGCGGCATGCTGTTTTCCAAGCGCCTCGGCACGCAACCGATGATAACGCATTTGCTGGTAAAACAGGTAAATTACGCCCACGGATGTGAAGAAGCGCTACAAAATTACAGTTAAGCATTTGCGGGGCGACCGGATGCGCCGTTACACCTCCCTGAAAGGGAAGCCGATGAAAGGCTTGCAGCTCCTTCTCTCCCTTACGCAATCATACGTGATTGAGGTTTGGATGAGGAGATCTCCCAAGCCGGGAGAAAAAAGAGAGAGAGAGAGAGCGAGAGGAGGGGGGGGGCAGAGAAATACGGAGTTTGGCCGGCGGAGACAGGGGCGGGAGCTACCAAGAGGGAGAGTCTTAAGGACTGCAGCTCACAGCTGTCCCTCATCGTACCTCAGCCATACGGATGTCAGCGCCCTGGGCGCCCCGTCATTTATCGGGACCACTGTCCAGAGACAGTCAGGCACCAGTAACACCAGACCAGTTATAATCCAAACAATCGGGGACCATGTAACAGATAGTGATGAATTGCCTTATTTGTTCAGAAGTGAATGGGTCGCTTAGTGGAAGCTGCAGGGATGTCTAACCCTAATAAATATATGACATCAGGATTGAAGACTCGCCGCACAGGACTTGAGAGCATCGCCCCCTCGCAAATAGGCGCTGGTGGCGCGTGGGTACCTGCATTGTTGTGGGTCCCATGTCACTGGGTTTCTGTCACACGTTCAGCTTTCGTGACAAGCTATAGCGCGTCCGTGTTCACATGGTATTCTCCTCTTAGTCGCGCACAAATACTGATACTCACTAATCACATGCTACACCTGAACAACTATTACAGCATTTCGACATGTGCATAAATAAATGGCACAGCAGTCGTATGGATACTGATTACGCACTGGAGCCAGGTATGTAAAACATAAAGGCTTTATGCAGATATACTGAACATTTACACCTCACATGTTTGCCATTCGGGACGCTTCTAATGAAAAGATGCACTGGGCACTCCAAGTGTCCATGTCAATAAATATCTTCCTATGATGGGTATTTCACTAACGCGGTTGTACTCAGAGGGTCCACACTTACAGGATGTGCTTTAAAGCGAATCAAACTGCCATACGACGACCTCTCTAACCGATTTAAAGAGATTCATACACAGTTCAAAATATTTTGAATACATTTACATTTGAATGGGACATATTCATTTTAGATATTAACTCTAAATGTTCTCATCTAAAGCATGAAATCGCTAAAATGTAGCCTTTGGGGGCGATATCTTTAAACTATAGAGATTGGTTTCGGGATGTCTTTAAACGGTTTAATCTTTGAAGCGACGTCTTAATCCGGCTGCTGGCGGTCCGTCTAAATGCTGGGCCTCTTCCGGTGAGCTCTCACTCACTCTTGGCTGAACCTTTTGGGTGGAAGGCGGAATACAAATCACGGTAAAATGACGTGTCATTGATGCGTTGCTGTAGCCTAACTTTCTGTTGGACGTGTGAACCGAGGAGCACTTCTAAGTGCTATGAAAATGTTAGTAAAGAATCGAATAATTTCCTCCCTTTCAATGAATATCAACTTCCATCACGCATTATTTCAGTTAGTTGTTGAGGACTTCATTAAATAGAACAGTAATTCTGGTCCATTATTTCGCTTTTACAATGATTAAAGTGAATCCTTCCACTGATATTCACCTATAAAGTACAGGATTACATTAGGTCTGGAGAGCGTCCCAGGAAAAACACACACACACACACGCACACAGTGGGAAATTTAGAAACACTAACTCCTCTGACCACGTGTCTTTTTTGACTGCAGGGGGAAACTGGAGTCGCCAACAGAAAGGGTCATAAACACGGTGACATCACTCACATCATAACCGGATTCAGAGACCCCAAACCCTGGATGTGTGAGACCGGCAGGCCACCCCTAACGGAGATGCAATAAACAGTAAAATCAAGGCTACTTCATTAGGAGCCGAATTAGAAAAGCTAACATATACTGTGACCCAGTTAGAGTATCTCAAATGTGCCCTATATATCTCTGGGATACAATTCTTAATATCTTGGTGTTAAGAGATACTCATAGAACACTCAGACATGAGTAAAATAATGTGAAGATGTATTCACTATATAAATATGTATATATAGACATACACACACACACACACACACACTATGGCCACTTTATTAGGTACCGCTATGTAGTTCCAGACCCACTTTGAGGGTCAATGCCTTTCTACACACCATTTATACACCGTCTGGAAAAAGGGTACAGTACTGGCACAGTTTTGTTACCTGAGGTTCAAACAACATTTGTGTACCCTCAATGGTTCGAGAGTGTTCCTCAGAGTCCATTTCTGTACCATAAAAAGGTACATTTACCTACAGCTATGATACCACTCTGAGACCCTTGAGGGCACAGCCCAAGTAATCATACCCTCAAAGGTACAAATTGATGCTTTTTTTTTCCTGACAGTGTACTGAACTGTTACTTCTGCACTTGCCGCCTTCCTGTTGGCTTTAAAAAGTCTGGCTATTCCCCTCGGACCTCTCTCATTAACATGGTGTTTTCAGGCCACAGAACTGCCATGGACAAGATGGATAAAACCATTCTCTGTATGCTCGAGACACTTTAGTGTGTGAAAATCCCAGTTGGGTGGCTGTCTCTGAGATTCTAGAACGGCCACGTCTGGCACCAACAATCACACTGACAAATCACAGGCGTCTCGGCCATCCTGACGCTTAGCCAAGCGGCAAGTAAACCTCCTGACCCCGTCTGTGTGATTGTGTCCGGGTGCAGCCACATGATTCACTGTTTGGAGGTCAGGCTGTTAGCATTAAAGGGCAGGTTTACCTCATAAAGTGACCACTAGGTGTAATTTATAGATTCTCCCAGCACACACACACACACACAGACACGGGGCCACACACTTTTTAAAAAGCCAACGACCCAGGTGTGTCGTACAGACGGCTGCTTCCTGGGAGGTCACAGCGATGTGCTGCTTTTGAAAACTGTAACTTCAGGAGCCACACACACACACACACACACACACACACACCTCCGTACATTTACATTTCCATTTATCTAGCAGACGCCTTTGTCCAACACAGCAGATAATGGAGGTCATTTCTCGGACTAGCCGAACTTTCAACTGGATTAAAATATAAAACAAATATTAGCAGGAAAAACAAAAGGTCTAAGGCCTGAAAGCAAACTATTCTGAATGAAATGTAGAAAATTAAAAATTTAATGGTTTCCAGTTAGCCTTGCATAGTACTAAGTTGTTAGTACCTTCAAAGCATAGTACGATCATACACTCATGTATTAAAAACATCTGAAACATAAGCAGCTGCACCTCATGCTGGCTCAACGAATACTTCCCTTAAAAGGAACAATGTATTGAAAAATGCACATTTAAAAAATGTGTTTCCTGTTTTTTGTTATACATTCCATATACTCTTGACATGACATCGGATACATAAAGAAACTAAAACGTGAATTTCTGAACAACGGGCAACGCAAGTATATAAGATCAGATTTTTAAAAAGATCCATCATGTGTTTTACTTTTTTAAAACAAATGGATTTGGGTTAGCAAAACCCAAGGCTCCCCCGCAGTATGAAAAAAAAAGTCCATGCTGTTAAATCCGGAAATGTTACAGCACACTAGTTTTCAGTACAAAAAAAAGAACCCTTACATGCTTAATATTTATCTTACTAGTATATTTTTAAATATTCAGTGAATGGATTTAAGGCTTACACTGACCCATGAAATGACTTCTGCGCTTGTAATTGCCATCGCTCAGCTTGAAATATATTGCCATCTAGTGGAATTTGTGCAGAAGTGCACTTTCTAAAGATATGCAGTAAACCGCGGAGAATACCGATAAAAAATTCAAACTCGAGTGTTCAGTTATTTTTAGATAACCTGTAAGTTGTAATCATCTTGAACCAAATTCCTACCAGCTACCTATTTAAAGTGTTTGTCCCCCTCCACTGAAGAGCTGACCCTAAAAATGAGGTCAGCAAAATGGTAATTTTAAGGATTTCTATAAAAGGGTGAGAATTTCACAGGTATGGTCCATACATAATGTTTAGCTTCAAGTTTATGGCAAAATGTATCTGATTTTAACTTTAGAAAATATCAAAAACCCCCTTCAGAGATTTCACACAACAACCAAGTGAAAGTTAACTGTTTATTGCAAACTGGATCGAGAAGTGGTTAAAGCTGACTGTCATTTACCTGCTTACCTGCCTGTTCTTTCAGAGCAGAACATGCATACGTGTTTGCTACAGGACAAGAACACAGGCACTGAAAGGGTTCAAGCAAATAAAGTACGTCACTAACAGAAGCAGTAGATGCCCTGCCTAGACAAGGTGTACCATGGGTTAAAGGCTGTATCTGGCAGGGGTGATTCTAGGATTTGACCATTAGGGCAGAGCTCAGTCCCCAAGACATATGCAATGAAAATGCCAAATGGATTTAAAATAGCAGTTTTCCAGGGGAGCCAAGACAAAAAACAAGGTGGCTGAAGCCCCCTAAATTTGTTCTGGAACTGCCTATGGTGTCTGGGTAAAGACTGTAGTACATTATGGGTAAAGAACCCTGTAGGTAAAGTACATGATGCAGTACACTGTAAGGAGTGCAGTGTAGGCAAAGAGTGCAATGCAGTGCAGTGTAAGGAGTGCAGTGCATGTGAAGTACACAGTGCAGTGCACCGTGTGAAAGAATGCACTGCAGTGTGGATAAAGAAGTCTGTAGGTGAAAGTACACAATGCAGTGCACTGTAAGGAGTGCAATGCTGGTAAAGTATGCAGTGCAATGTGCCATAAGGAGTGCAGTGTAGGTAATGTACACAGTGCCATGCACTGCATGTAAAGAATGAACTGCAGTGTGGGTAAAGATCTCTAGGTGAAGGTACATAATACAGTGCACTGTAAGGATTGCAGTGAAGGTAAAGTACACAATGCCGTGTAAGTGAAGTATATAATGCAGTGCACCATGTGTAAAGAATGCAGTGCAATGTAGGTAGAGATCTATATAGGTAAAGCACACAAGGCAGTGCACTGTGTGTAAAAAAAAGTGGTGCAATATGGGTAAAGAACCCTGTATGTGAGGTAAATAGTGCAGTGTATAATATAAAATATACAATTTCAGTGCACCATATGTAAAGAATGCAGTTCAGTGTGGGTAAAGAACCCTGTAGGTGAAGTACAGAATGCAGTGCAATGTGGGTAAA